AATACTGGACTGCTACAGGAGATCCCATAGATTTCTGAGGTTTCCCCACAGAAATCCATGTTCCTGGGGTCTCTGGATCAGTCCCATGCTGGTATTCCAGCTATCAGACCTGGGAGCAAGAGTTCCCCGATGTTCGGGTCAGCTGTTACTGTGGGTTTCACCAGCCTGGTCTGGACCTCTGTCCTCTTCACTGGTCCTTCTCTGCATCTGGGTTCCAATTCAGATCGGTGATTAGTTATGGGTATCTGCTTCTACTTCCACCAGCTGCTAGATGAAGGCATATAAGTCAGTCATCAATACACCAGGAAAGAAAGATACATCACCTGCACCCACTGGAAGAAGAGATGGGAAGACGACGATATAAGAACGGATCCAACAACAGGAAAACCAATATGGCACCACCAGAGTCTAGGGACTCTACACCAGCAAGACCTGACTACCCCAACACAGATGAAGCAAAAGGCAGCAATCTTACAAACAACTTTATTTCCTGATCATATTTTTTCTTTTTCTTTATTTGATTTTGTTTTAATTTTTCAGTACCTAGTAGGCTTTTTTTATACTATGATTTGAGTCCAAGTCCAAGACAGATACCATATGTACTGACTGAAGGATGGGTAGCAAGTCCTCTGGAGCCCAGAAGACAAGATACAGGATTCCATACTTAAATTGGTAGATTTGTTTTTGTTTTGATCTGCTTCATTTAAAACATAGATTCTTCTCTTTCAGAATAGAGAACTAACCTGCCCTATGATGTGTTGCAATTATATAAATTGCTTTTAATTTTATAGGAATCTATAGTTAAGAGACTTGGAAGTTTTAAAAGATAATTCAGGAATTTAAACTTGTATTATATCTCATGAAATAAACATGAAGCTCTGGGGACAAGAGAGAGAAGGCTATGGTTTAAAAGTTAATGTGTTTGAGTGTTAGGTTCACAACCAGTGTAGTGTGATAATTTTCCATCTTTATATAACCCAGAATCACCTGGGTAGGGAATGCCAATGTGGTATTTTCTACATTTTGTCATCCTATGGACATTTTAATGGGATCTTGTCTTCATTAGTTGATTTTGGAAGACCTGGCACACTCTAGGTAGCATTATTCCCTAAGCAGGAGTCCTGATCTATACATGAGTGGAGAAACTGAGATAAAACAAAAGTAAACAATGAATATTCTTGCTCTTTTCTTTTTGATCTTGACTGCAGATGTGATGCAACATGTAATTAGGTGGTCTAAGTTACTGCCACCATGATGTCCCTGATATACTGTGTTCAGAAACCTGAAACTGTGAATTAAAATGAACCCATCTAGTTTCAACTACTTTTTATCAGAGTATTTCAATCCAGACCACCAGAGAAGCTAGGAAACAAGGAGGACCCTAAGAGAAACTTACAGGGTCCCACAGAGAAGGGGAAAGGGACAAAATATCCTGAGCAATTTGGGAGCATGTGGGAGTGGATTGACATGTAAAACAAGCTTGTTTGTAATTTAAATTAAAAAAACTGAAAAAAGACAAATCTACTATAGTAAATTATTTTTGATCAACTGTAATATCTTATTATATATAATAACCATAGTTCAATTATCTCTTATGCAATTCATAAAAAGATTAGTGTTTCAAGTTGGGACAACCTTATAAGGATTTGTAAATACCCTAGGAGTAAGAATGTTTGTTATGGGATAGGCACTATTTAGTGCCAGTTTTCAAAATTGCTTGAATAACTCATAGTTATGACCCAATTGGGATTAACAGAAATTTATAGAACTTTCTATCCCAACACAAAAGAATATACCTTCTTTTCAGCATCACATGGAACCTTCTCAAAAATCGACCACATTCTCCCCAACATAGCAAACCTCAACAGGTACAAAAAAATTGGAATAATCCTCTGTGTCTTATCAAACCACCATGCTTTAAAGTTAGAAATCAAAAACAAATCAAAGTGCAAAAAACCTACCAACTCATGGAAATTGAACAACACGCAATTGCAACATTTCTGGGTCAAGGAAGAAATAAAGAAATTAAAGACTTCCTAGAATTCAATGAAAATGTTGACACAACATACCCAAACTTATGGGACACTTTGAAAGCAGTACTAAGAGGAAAGTTCATAGCTCTAAGTGCTCACATGAAGAAACTAGAGATAGTCATCTTGGTTTTCATAACACTAACAAAGCATTCTGGTGGATAGAAGTGCAAAGCCCATACCACACAGTGAAGAAGTTTTCCAAACTACTATGGATTTGCACTTGGGTGTTTTGTTTTGTTTGTTTGCTGCCGCTTTTTGTTGTTGCTGTAGTTTTTGAGTCAGGGTCTGCCTCTGTAGCCCAGGCAGGCCTCAAATTCACAGCATGCCTGCCTGAGCCTACTAGCAGGGATTGCAGATGCAAGCCATGGCACCTGGATTTCCCTGTGGCTGTTGAGCAGTGGGTATATCAGAGGAGCACAGAGAGAACCCTGCTGACTTCAGAGCCCAGAATCAGCTTTGCACACTTGCTAAGCACCTGTTGTTTTTTCTCTCCATGGCCTTAATGGGTTAGGGAAAATGGCCTTTTGTATTTCAACTGTCCCACATTCTGGGCTTGGCAGATGTCATGAAGTCAACTCACAGCAACTCCATTCTTCTGTTGTCCCAAAGTGAGGAGTCAGAGAAGAAAGGTAGCTTTGATGGGGGGACTTCTCATGTTTGAGTTTTATTTGTTTGTTTTCGATATGGTGGATTGAACCCAACCTGGCATGCTAGGCAGGCACTTTAGCACTGGGTCATGCCCCAAACTCCTCACTGGCAGATCCTAGGCAGGTGAGTCATGCCTGCTGCCCTTCCTTTTACTTTTTTATTTTATTATTATTGTGTATGTGTTTATTTTTTAGTGTATAGGAATACATGGGTACGTGTTCCTGTGTGTGTGCACAGGCACTGTGGAGGCCAGAGGCAGTTAGTCAGTATCTTCTTCAATTGCTGTCTGTGCTGGTAAGTGTTTTTGTCAACCTGGTATAAATTCAGAGTCATATGGGAAGAGGGAACCTCACTTGAGAAAAGGCCCCACCAGATTATCCTGTGGGACAGCCTGGAGTGAATTTTCTTAATTAGAGATTTATGTGGGATGGCTGTGATGGCTATTCCTGGTTGTCAACTTGTCTATATCCAGAAATGGAGGGCACACCTGTGATCCAGATCTTGAGGCAGGAAGACTGCACACCTTTTACCCAAACCTTGAGGCTGGAAGGCACACCTCTAATCTGGGCCACACTTTCTGTTGGAAGCCTATGTAAGGCAATCGGAGAAGGAAGGGTGTTCTTTACCTGCTTGTCCTCATCTCTTCAGCCCATTCATCCCTTCCTCGGATCCCAGCAGACCAGCTGAGACACCCAGCCTGGTGGGGTTGAGCAGGCACTAGATTCTTAGACTTCCATTCATAACTAGCCATTGTTGGACTGCAGCTGGTAAGTCATTCCAATGAATTCAATTTCATATATATGTGTATTAGAGAAAGGGGGGAAGAGGGAAAGAGAAGGGAGAGTGAGATTCATTTAATAAGTTCTGTGACTTTAAGAGAACCCCGACTAACACAATGGCCACCCCAGAGGTGGTGGTGGCACTTCTTGCTAGTTGGTCTTGGATGCTATAAGGTTGGCAGGTGAGGGGTCTAGTACAGATGTTTGCCCAGACAAATATGGTCTCGGGAGTCTACAGCACTGCAGGGGAAGACAGGCACGGCTCCTTCAGACTGCCCCTCCTAACCGGCATCCTGGCAGACACCTGAGAGGAAGCCAACCGATGGCCTGCCTCCCTCCGCAAGCCTAGCCACACAGGTTCTAGGATGTCAGCAGGTCCACCCTGGGCGGGATTTCTCTCCAGGCTTGTAGGAGGGCTCAGGAACCTTTGGCCTTGAATGAAGGACCAGGCTGGAAGGAACACTGAGCTACCTGCCTGCAGAGCCACCTTGTCTTCCATTCAGATGTATTTTCTCTGTTACCACAGCCAGAAGAGGTGAGCATGGGAGAGGAGGTTGGAGACAGGTGTCCTGTTCCCTCAACAAACCCCAGGGATCCAGAATGTGGACCTGTTGGTCTCCAGCCCACCCCAGGACTCTCTGGGAGGAGATGCCATTGCTGGCAAACAGGATCCAGGACCTGGCTCCCCAGACTCTGGGTTCTCAGCCTGAGTCCTCCAGCCTGAACCCCCCCCTT